CTTTCCACTGAATGTGACATACAAGGTTTACTTTCTTTCCTAGCTTTCAAACTGCCAGAATACACATGTACTTTTACTTTCTTAGGAGAAAATGTGTCATTTGATTTCTTTCCAGTTTATCTACTCGTGCCAGCAACTAAAATGCTTAAAGAACCCAAAATGAATTACTACCCAGAAACGGCGGTCAAAGTTCCAAATTTTGATCAATAAAATTGCTCCTCTACTCACAAATTAATCTTTCACCAGTAAAGTTGCACATTTTCGGGTTATGAGCACACCTGCACTGTTAAGCATTTATTTTACTTGTTTAAGCAATCTTCAGAAGTATATAAATATTTATAAAAGAGAGCCTACTATTTTTATCCATCTATAATTTTTTTGAGCAAAATCTTGTTAAGTCTTTTATAACTCCTAAGCATCCTGAAGCAAGGTTTATATCCTCAACAGCCAATGTCCTGCCAATACCAGCCCAATGCCTAGCACATAGTCACAGCACAAAAGTGTTCACCCAATTACACTGGATCTCACTGCTTTGCCTCTTTCTGATCCAGAATTTTGGAAGGGACTAATTTTCCATTTGCATTTGATCATTAATTAAAAAAAAACTTTGCAGAGTACATTAATAGAATAAGTAAAAAGACATATTCGGTTACTAAATGTTTTTTCAAGCACTTGGGAAAGCAGTATCTACACTTAATTTAATGTTTTATTCATTAATAAACCACAATGTCACCCAAGACTGCAACCAGCTCACATTTGGTTCAGAGTCTGTATCTGCAAAGCGTGTCATTTCTCCCCTTATCTACCCTCTTCTCTCTAAAAATTAGTCCACGGTGATGTTTGACTGCAGTCTGTGATCTGTGTCAAGTAACTACTTATTTCTTTTGTTTGCATCATCAGCCTGAGAAACTGAGGAAAGCTACTAAACCGGAAGTGGGGAAGTGTGAAATATCTTAAAATATGGGCCACGGTATATTTGGAGATTTAATGTTCTTATTTTTTTCCCCTTCTCATCCTTCTTCTTTTTCCTCTTTCTCTCCTTCTCCTTCTTCTTGCTATCAGCAGATCAAATTGTTCTTCCCTGTCAAGCCTTCTTCTATGCAGAAGATCTGAAATTTGCTAAAATAGATCTCTGAGTGTAGTTATAAAGGGTAGAAGATCAGAGAGGAACACCATTCAGCTTTGTTGTAGGATTTCCTTTTCATTTCCAAGCCACTTGACTGAGATGCCCCAGGAGGACAGCATGGCAAGATAGATTGAAATGTGAAGGTTATACCTTCAGTCAGTCTCCAAGTCTATACACACATTTTTATAACAATATACCATGTGGCCTAGGTTAGTTATTTCCCCATTCTGCTTGTGGAAGGCCAGCCAAACCAATAAAGCTTACTGAATTTGCATGATCCTACATTGAGCAATCGGCACCCTCTCTCCTTTCTTTCCTGCCTTCCCCTCCACATCCTCTTCTCTCTCTTCTTCTCTCCCTTTCTCTCTCCCTTACCCTCTCATACCAATCAACCTTCTTCTTTCCCCAGCCAAGTCTAAACTCCGGTCTAAATTCTCAGCTTACCATTTAAGGGCCAGGAAGAGCCTTAAGATTTCTCCTTCAGCAAAAACTAACATTCAGATTTGCCCGCTTCTCCCTCCACTTCTTATACAGACTCAAACGCTCAGCAGGAAGCGGGAGGTTGGCTTGTGCTCTGCCCTTGCCAGGAAGCACGAAGCTCTCTTGCCTCACACCCTTCTGCAGGGTGGCTGAAATCCTCTAACAGGCAAGAAGAAGCAGAGTCCTCCAAAGGAAATCCCCTGAAACTTTACTTTGTATATTTAGCTCTAAAAGAACTTCGCTCATCTTGGAAAAGAAGTTACCTAAAAATGCCATATGTTTTTAAAAAGCAAGTATGAGGAAAAATAAGTCTAGTACAAAAAAAAAATCACAAATGATATTCAATACTGAAAGCAATATGATCAGACAGATTGTATATGTGTGTATTTTTTTAAAAATTTCTAACCAAAGCTCTACTATGTGCAAGATTCTTCTCCCTAATAATACATTGTCATATTTTCCAACGCACTTGAGGTCTGATAAATTCAACAGGACTCCTTACATTTTTTTTTTAAGGCTGTGAGAGTTCCAAGAGGGAAGCAAAAAGAATGGACAGTCATTTGAATCTCTGAGTGACAGGCTGGGCTGGTTCCCTGTATACATTAATAAATTAGAATTTTAATTGCGTCTCTGTCTGCAGGAGATGCCCTAGTACTTTAATATGTACCAACAATTGGCTATGTTATGGAATCTGCAATGTGGCCTCCACTGCTGACCTCTGAAGCACAATTCCCAGTCTGACTACGGAAACTGTTCGGTTTGATCCTCTCAACTTATTTGAATCCTGACAAATAAGCTCACAGCTGAAAGGTCACTACAGTCACATTTCATCCTCCAGTGCTGTTCTTAAGACATCTGCACAACAAAGCACTTCTTACAGCACCTGACACAGGCTCCTCCATGGTACTCTACCTCATTAAAACTGTACCCTGTGCTCACTCTTTACCAGGAAGGTGGCCAGCTGATGGTTTACCAAACAACAGTTTTGGGAAGTGTCTGTAAACAACATATCCTATCATCCAACTTCTAATCAAATGTCACTACAGTGCTGAACTTTCTCTGTAACAGGGATGGGGAGAGTATCTCCCTAGGAGATTCATAAATACTAGAAATGGTTGTCCAACCCACTTTGATCTTTGTAGAATGATCTGGAAAATAGTATTAGTTCATCCCAACCCATGAGAAGCCAACAGAAGTTAGAATTTAGGTTGACCTCGTGATCAACTTAGTTGGTACCAAGTGCTACTCATCTGGTATTAGATTCTATTCCAAAACTTTCAGGGAAAGAGACACTGCAGCTCTTCCACTTGAGCCATACTTCTACTTCCAGCTTTTTGGTGGTTGGTTGGAGATAGAAGTATTGAGGAATATTTTGTGCCTGGGCTGGTTTCAGACTGGGATCATTAGCTCTCAGCTTTCTGAGTAGATAGAATTATAGGTGTGAGTCATGGTTCCTGGCTGAATTATTTTCTGCCAGTCCTGGGACTTGAACTCAGGGTCTAGGCACTGTCCCTGAGCTTCTTTTGCTGAAGGCTAGCACTCTACCACTTGAACCACAGTGCTACTTCCGGCTTTTTCTGTGTATGTGGTACTGAGGAATCGAACCCAGGGCTTTATGCATGCTAGGCAAGCACCCTACCACTAATCCATATTCCTAGCCCCTGAAAGTATTCTTAACTATTATCTGCAAGTGTCCTATCTTGAATGTGAGCATACATATGCATATAACCCTGAATCAAGTTTCCTTGAGATTCCTATTGCAATTTTCTTTTCAAATTCAAAAATCCAAATTAGGTTTTATTGGGTTTAGAGGGCACTGAGGTCTGTACTCAGGGCTTCATGATTAACAGGCACTCTACCACTTGAGCCACACCTCTAGCCTTCAAATTAGCTTTTTCAACTCTACTGACCCCTTGGCCTTAATGAGTCTGAAATAAGAAGTTGCTAAAGCTATTTTTAATTATCTTTACATAAATAAATATGGCTCCTCATTTTAAATAAATGATTCAGTAACATTCTATGACCATCCACTGAAGAAGGGTTATGTCCTACTAGCATTACTAGAATGACTAGAATATTAGTATTGTAATTACTAATAGTAATGATGAGAACATGGATGTCAATGCTCAACACAGCTGACATTTTGGGCAGGTAGATCCTGCTGCATGCTGGAGGAGTTTCCTGTATACTACTGAGCAGCATCTGTGGTCCTACTGCACCCATGAACAGTTACTAACCTCTTGGCCCCTAAATTTGACTCTGAACATTTTTTTTAATGTAGAAAAGAGAACTCTTACACTGTGGTGGAAGTATAAATTAGTATAGCCACTAGGGACAGTAACATGGAAGACCCTTTAAAAGCTAAAACAACAGCCAGGCACCAGTAGCTTATATCAGTAAAGGTTGGGGATCATGATTAGAAGCCAGCCTGAAGAGGAAAGTCCACGAGATTCTTATGTTGAATTAACCATCAAAAAGCCTGAAGTAGAGTTGTGGCTTAAGCGGCAGTGTGCTAGCCTTGAGCATAAAAGCTGAGGGGCAGTGCCTAAACCCGGAGTGCAAATCCCAGCACTGATGTATGTGCTTGCACATGTGTGTGTACACACACACACATGCACGTGCACGCACACACACACACCATACAAATCTAAACTGCCAAATGATCCAGCTATCTTACTCCTGGGTATATATTCCAAAGCAAATACATTTTTTTGTGGGAGATACCTTCATAGCCAGATTTCTGTAGTAATACAAGATGGGAAAAGTAGGGAGGTAGATGGAAGGATGGAAGGAAGAAAGGAAGGAAGGAAGGAAGGGAAGAAGGGAGGGAAGGTGGAAAGAGGGAGGGGGAAGGAGGGAGGGAGGGAGGGAGGGAAGGAAAGAGGGATATGCCTGATACATGCTGTATACACATATAAAATGATCATATGAAGCCTCATTATGGCAGAGAATTAATATGTTAATAGAAAATGTCTCTTGAAACTGCTCAATGGTCCTCTGGGAGTCAGAACTGTCTCCCCTTGAGCACAATGGCACTGAAGTCCCTGTGTGTGCCTCCATTCCTAGTCTCACCATGAGAAGGCACAACATAAAGTCCGATGAACTTTTTCCTTTGGTAATCTACACTGTGTATTAAGCAATCCAGTCCTTGCAACTCTTCATCCTTCTGTTATGACTCATGATTAGTCAATCATCTTATTCCCAACAATAAGCCTTTTGGTCAAATAGACATTTTCCCCCAAAATGTCATGCTCTGCTGATGAAATCAAAATGCATGGTTGCAGGAGATTTTGTTCTACAATTGGCAATTCTCCACATAGCCAGCTTTGGAATGGCTAATTGGCTATTGCAAGGGGTCTAATGGACATTGCTAGAAGAGAAAAAAAATTTGTACCTGAAGAGCTGGCTGTTTGTCATTCCTCTTGGGAGATTTTAATCCACTAACTTGCTGCTGCTGCTGCTGCTGCTGCTGCTGCTGCTGCTGCTGTTGTTGTTGTTGCTGCTGCTGCTGCTGAAGGAGGAGCTGCCTGGCCACCTGCAAGGCCTGGAGGAAAGATGGAAGGAAACAATGCCATTACCACACAGTACTGGGGGACTCCCTCACTGGAAAAAAATCCAGGAAGTACAAACTCCAGCCCTGACAGACCCATTTCCAAGCAAAGGAAACAGAAAACAAACCTTCCGACCAGACTAAGTTGTAAAACCCAAATTTGCTGACATTTCCTTTGATATGGTTAATTTGACCCATAGATCCTTACACATAGTAGGCCACGGTAAGCAGACACTATGTTTCTATCAGGAACTTGCCATAAACTTAGAAGTAGGAATGAGTTGGTATTTTGAGTTTGGAAGGCAGGCGTGACCTGGCCAAAGTCAGAGAAAATGATGGGCCCTTAGGAGAGGTACCTTTGTCCTCTCTCAATGTCTTCTTGGGGCAACTTGGAGGCTCATGTTGAAAGTAATAGTTTCACCTCATCTGAGTCCTCATGAAGAGGAAAAGCTAAGCAGTGAGGCAAGTCACTGTAAATGCAGTCAATGGCCAAGGCAGAACACAGCAGGAGAGGCATACTTGGAAACATAAAAATCAACACTGAGCCAATCCGACCCATAGTCATCTGAAAACAAAACTGCTTACGTCTAATCAACCCCTTCCAATAGACAAAATAGAATGCTTTTCTTTAAAGACAGATATTAGAGAGGGGATATGACCTGGGGATATGGCAAAAGAGAAAGAAGTTCTACCAAGTGCTAACTATATGATGACCAATCTTTTTCAGGAGTTCAAGAAGAAAAATAAAGGTGTGTTATCAATACAGATGATGTCCTCAGCCCAACAATTAAAGACAGGAATAATGCCAGGACACCCCTTTTCAAAAGCAACATCAGGAACAGCAATAGAAAACTTAAGTTGTGCAAATACAGTGTGAAAAATTCACCTACAAAGTTAGGTTTCTCTTCAGTTCAGCTGAGAACCCAGAAGGTATACTACTGGGAAGAGATGCTGAGACTATGCACTAGCTGGTGTCTGCAGAATACAGCGACAACGTGAGATTTCTTAGACACCTAATGGTTTCTATCCAAAAACCAGGCATTTGTGTCTCAAAGGAGGGTACACAGATGTGGCCAATGAATCAAAAGAGTGCAATACCACAGGTTTCAAATGAGCACAAAGTACTGACCATGGCCATGTTGAGGTGGAGAAAGGTCAGGTGGTCAGGAAGCCCCTGTGAATAGAACTAGGGAGAAAGGAGTAGGGTGGTCACGGTGAGGGCAGGCTAGAGTAGGGAAAATGAAGCATGGTAAACAGCTGCCAGGAATTAAAAAACAAAACAACAACAACAAAAACCTAAAGCTTAACACAAATATAGGAGATATTCATCCATCTATGTCCCTTAAGCTTAAGGGACCAAGAGTTATTTTAGGAGAAAATGATGCAGGACAAATTAGGGAAAATGAGGCCTGGTGAAGGCAATTCAGAAACAAAGTACTCAGAAACATTTTTGCTTCTAAGAAACACAAGGAGGACTTCAAGAATTAACATTATTTGGAGACAGGACGCATCCCTTCCTGAGAGAAATGCCCCCCCCCAAAAAAAAAATTGTGGACCCAAAACATAAACAATGAGGATGGTAAATAAGAGCCAGGAACTGAGAAGACATAACAGTTAAGAGCAAGACCCCCACCTTGGCATAATTTTTAGGTCAGAGCCCCCCCGCCTTTATCATATAACACCCCTCATACGTCTGTGTGTCTGTCTCCCTTTGAGAGCAACCATACTCTGCCAGAGTGTGCCCTGGTCTTTCTGCTCCTCTGTTTGTCTGCTTGCCTGCTGGCTTCCCTACTCAATAAAGCTCTGCCAAGTGTTCTTGCCATGATGACTTGTCCAGAAATTCTTATTCTGTGATCAAAGTCGAAGACCCTAAGTGAAGAGTCCCAACTTTTAGAGGGGAAACTTCACCAACCTTCACCTGCGTCCAGTGACAGTGGGGTTTGTGCTTAGGAGCAGACACCTAGCTACACAGACTGCACTGCTCCTCCTGAGGACAGCCCACTAAACAAGCCCCTAACTAGACTGAAAACGATTGCTTTTTGCTTTTTTGTTGTTGTCGTTCAGTGGTATCAGGGCATTATCTCCAGGTCATACACTTCTAGGCAGGTGCTCTATCACCTGAGCTCGACCTCCAGCCCTCTTTTTTTAATTTGCTTTAATTATTTAGAGTACTGCACTTTCTCCAGGGGCAGCCCGGACTGCAATCCTCCTATGAACACGTCCTGTGGAGCTGGGATTACAGGTGCACACAATTATACCTGGTCTAAATCTCCATAAGGTTGAAAGGCACCTCTGTGTCTAAGAAGCAGAAAGGAGAGCAAAGATAGCTTCCTGCCCTGCTGCATCTGCTCCTCCGGTCCCGAGGAAGCCTCCTGCTCTTGGACTCACCCCAACTAGCCCTTATGATGCAGAGAGCAGACTAGCTCCTCTGGGAAGGGAGAGGCTCATTTGACCAAGCCTGCCTGGAAGGGCGGCTGTCTGAGAGGGGCGGCTGGAAGGCAAGGCGCCTGGGAGGGCTGCCTGAGACTCCAGCCGGCTGTCTCACTGGAGGATTCACCATCGCTGGACTCCGGGTTTCCTTGTCTCCTTGGAGACGCTCGGTACATGCGTAGGTGGAAAAGTGGGCAGAGGGAAGATTTCATTTATATCATCTAAGAAAAATAGTCCCCCATGCAAGGTGCCCGCAGGAGCAAACGCCTCTCCTACTATGTATGCTCCCTTAACTAGTTCACAAGGAGCCTTCCAGTTTCTTCTCTATTGTGAGGAGGGCTGTCTCAGAGCTCGGGGTAAGTGACTGATCAGCAGGAGAGGCTCCAGCTGGGATCTGCAAGGCAGACAGTGGGATTGTGGCTGACGGGGAAAGATAGTACAGAGAGAAACATGGTAGAGAAGACAAGGGTTACACATGTGTGTGCGCGCGCACACATACACACACACACACACACACGTGCTAGTCCTGGGGCTTCAACTCAGGGCCTAATCCTCTCACTTGGCTTTTTTGCTCAAAGCTGGTGTTTTACCACTTGGGCCACACCTCTACTTCCAGCTTTTTACTGGTTAATTGGCAGTAAGAGTGTCTCAGATTTGTGGGCCTGGCCTGGCTTTGAACCACAATCCTCAGCTCTCAGTCAATTGAGTTAGGATTGCAGGCGTGAGCCACTAGCACCTAGCGTGGTTACATTCATTTAATACTAAACCAGAGCAAGCAAAGAAGAACCAAATGGGGATAACTCTACATAATAATCATGGTTTCACCAGGAACAGGGATTTGTTAATTAAGCTGGTCTCAGAGAAGCCACACATTCAACCTCCTATTTCTGTAAAAGGGAAGATATTAAGAATGACATCCACACCCACAATTATTTTTACACAAGCATGCACTCATAACTGTACCTCAGTAGAAGACAGTAGTGAACCGAGACCTAATGTTTGTTTTCAACCTGTCCTTCCTGAGCTGGCTTTCCATGGCACTTATACACTTCAAAAGACAGTGTCTGGAATTTCAGATGTGCTGTGCTGGTTTAAGAAAAATGTAACTTGTGAATGTGTCTTTTTCATTCGCCTCACAGAATGGGTTTACTTGTATGCTCACTTGATCAAGCCCAGTTCTTTCCTATCTTTCCCATGAAGGCCTACTGCAGAGAAGAATGAACAGTAGAAACCCACAGGAGCGGGTAGAGGAACTTACATGAATGAACACACAAGACAAAGTCTAGGTAAACTACTGAACAGACCACCACACAGGATATGCATTATGGCTTCTGCAGTTCAGCCCCCAAATACCTACCAACAGGGAAAAGAACCTCAAATAACTCAAAACAGAAATCACTTGGATATGAACGGTGGCAAATGATCATGCTACCATGTCTCTACCCTTGCAGGAACATGTGAGCGAAGTTAGGGCAAAGTTAACACTCTCCAATAAGTAAATAAAAATAAACTTATAAAATCATCTTCAGTCTCCGCAAAAATTTAAAACTTAATTGATTAGGATACACAGCAGGCTTCAAAACCAATCTCTAAAGGGCATTTTTCTCACATCCCGGTACACTCTAGCCTTTGAATTGTCACAGAAATAAGGAGAAGACAATAAGATTGCAGCTTCTGGTGTCCCATACAAGTCTCTGCCATCTACATTGATAGAAAGTAAAAAAAAAAAAAAAACTTATTATTATGTTCATGGCTTATGAGTGGGGTAAAAATTCTGGGTTCATAGGGCTGCTCAAACATAATTATTTGACAGTCTTCCCTCCACCTCTTGCCAGTATGGAGGTTTGAACTCAGGGCTTCATGTTTGCTCATCTAACACATTACTATTTGAGCCACACCACCAGTCTAGACTTTTGCTGGTTATCTTAGAGATGGAGTCTCTCGGACATTTCCTTGCAGGCTGGCTTAGAACCCTGATCCTCTGGATCTCAGTCTCCTGAGTAGCTAGGATTAAAACTGTGAGCCACTGTTACCTGTTTTACTCTTCTTTTCTTTTTCTTTTGTTGGTGCTGGTCCTGGACCTTGAACTTAGGGTATGAACACTATCCCTGAGCTTTTTGTGCTCAAGGTTAGCCTCTATCACTTGAGCCACAGCTCTACTTTCAGATTCTTGTTAGTTTTGTGGAGATAAGAGCCTCATAGGCTATCCTGCTCAGACTGGCTTTGGACCACGATCCTCAGATCTCGGCCTCCTAAGTAGCTAGAATTACAGGTGTGAGCCGCTGATGGCTGGCTACTTGAATGTTTTAATGTGTTATATGTATCAAAGTAGATTAAAGTTCTTCATTTCAGACTCCATTGTCTCAACCTCAGACACAATCTTATCCCCAATACAACCAAGGAGTGAGAAGGGCCTGGGCCTGCTTTTACTTCCCTAGCAGTGTCTCAATCACAACTGCAGAAGTGTCTTAGGATACACTGCTGGAAGATAAAACTGGATACTTTGGATACAGAATAGTAAGTATGTGGACATCGGACTCTGTATATAGTAGAGAGAATAGAGA